TTGGCTAGATATTGACATGCAAGTAGACCAGACTAGGCTTTGTGCTGTGGCATCACCAGATTCATCTGTCATTTGTTTTGTTGTTATGGCTTGCTATGGACACATACTGCAGCTGTATCTTTAAAGATTACCAGTCATTGATGCCCTACACTACCATTATCTTATTCTAAAAGTGACAATGAATCCCAAAATAGATTGTGGCACATATAATATCAGCATAGTAATTGAACACATAATGATATCATTAGTTCTACTAATTTATTTATTCTCTTTTGTTAATGACTTTAATAAATTATGGATCAATTAATACATTTAACTCAACCAAAAATAAAGAAGTCAGCTGATCATATGATATAACAGGTTGTTTCCTTCTAGATGTTTGTCGAGTTATATAACCTTTGCTATGAGTCTGGTCATATCAGCTCTAGTTACAATTCCATGTGGTTTCCAGCAGGGTTCTTTATCTTAGTTATTTGACACTAGTCATTGATCTATAGTTGCTTTGTTTAATATAAAGTTAAGAAAATGAGTAATTGCCATATGTTCATGAATGGGGTGCTAAATTCTTATCTTATTCCTTTCTTCCTAAAATGAAGATAGGTGCATACTTTTAGTTGACCATTTTTTTTCTGAAAGCAATTGCTAAAGTCTTTCAGGAAAGAAATAGATGCTATACCCGCATTCAAAATGCTTCAAAATAATGTGTTATCCCTGATCATTTTAAACCTATAGTATACAGTAGATTTTTTTTCCTAGGGTGTTTCCAAAGGAATAAATAACACTGTCTTTCATAGTAGTATCTGATCCAATCTCTTCCATTTTTTGGGTTAGGCTTCTAAAAAGCTGATAGCTATATTAAACAAAAATTGAAAGTAAGCAAATATTTGTACCATAAAAAGGGCACACAGAAGTTCCACTAAAGGGGAAGAGAGTCAAGAGATTGTATTTTTATTTTGGGATTTTAATATTCACATTATAGTTCTTAATGTAAAAATGGTTCAGTACAAAGGGAGAAAAAGAAAACTTGTTATATATTATGAGGCTTTACTCTCATCAGAATAAATTCATTTTAATTGTATTTCAGAATGATTAAGTTCATACTACTGGTAGTAAAATATCTGTAGAGTAATAAGAATGGAGCAATTGTAAATGTAAGCATGAACCTGTAGGAGAAGAAAATAGGGATTTTGGCTCATTTCATTATATTCCAGAGACTTTGGTTGACTTGAGATGTAACTATGGATAGCACTTTATCATAACATCGTATGGCAACTTGTCTAGCTTTGGGGCTAGATCCAGATGAAGGAGCATTGTCCAATAACAAGCAAGGTTATGAAGAAGACCAAAAAACCCAGAGTACAAAAAGGTATAGTTTTTTTTACTTCCCTACACCATCAGCTTTAGAAAATATCAGATCTTGCTTTTGAAAGAAAACAAAAAATTGAACAAGGACAGGGAATATGAAGAACCCAAAATTCACGACAGTTTCTTTTGTAGCCCATTTCCAAGAAAACTGAAAAGCATTACAAAATGTTAGAACGGGGCTCTCCAAACTTGGCAACTTTAAGACTTGTGGACTTCAACTCCCAGAATTCTCCCAGCATAGCTGGCTGAAGAATTCTGGGAGTTGAAGTTTACAAGTCTTAAATTTGCCAAGTTTGGGGACCCCTGTGTTAGAAGAAAAACTCTTCTAGACTTTCATCTTTAAGAATAAATAATACTATAGAGCAAATTGTAGTTTTCAAGAGGCTAGATTGCCTATTTTTCAATATGTTCATAGTTCCAAAAAGGAGAGAGATTTGACGAGACATTTGGAACCTAAGGGCACTGGACAATTACATTGGACTACAACTGAAGCTACCATTTTGAACATTTTTTTACATCAGTAGAACTATCCAAGGTGCACCTTTATCTTTTCTTCAGATCAAAACACTGCAGGTTCTTCATGTTTCCTTAAAGAGAGTAACCGTTTAAAACCAGGGCCCTTCCATTTCAACCTACATTGGTACCCAGATAGTTCACAAAAGTAATGGCAGTATTTAGACATCTGAACGGGTCCATAATTATGGATACCCTGACAATTTGTTCATGATTGTGCATCAATCATACTATTCAGCCCATGTGCAAATGAGGAAGGGATTATGGAATTTGAGGAAATTTCTTGCCTTCCTCAGGACAGATTTTGTAGCTGGGGGTTCTAATAAACACTAAGCAGAAGAGAATTTTGTTTTGCTTAGTCTCAAGAACACATTGTGGGACTCCTGACATCTAGGAGGAAATTGCTCATGGGCCTTGAAAAACTACAGAAAATGATAATTGTGGCATGGGAGTCTGTATTGCGGGCATTTGGTCAAGGATCACATTGTGACAAATGCCAACTTAACTGATTGTGTAACTCATTCGATGAACCACTTTACTCGGGCATTGATCCTATTATGAACCCCATGAATTGGAGTTTGGGTTAGTGTATTTGAGGTTCACAACTCTGGCTCACGCAATGGAGAGGCATTTTGGATGGGCAAGATTTCTAAAGTATTTACATTAACAGTCAGGGGACTACAAATCAAAGGGACTCCAGAGTGGGGTGGCATCTGTTAAGCAAGTGGAAATCAGAAGACAAATTGAGCCAACAGAGCTTTTCTAAGGCCGACTAGGGCTTCATCCTTAGCATTCCAAAAAACCTGCAGGTTATCAGTTTGTTGCAGCAGAAAATTAGTTGGTTCTTTTCTTGTTTTAGAATGATGAGATAAACATAATTAATGCCTTGTTGCTCTTTGGCCAGAGAGATTACTGTCTGTGTTTGCCGGTTCCTACCTTGAGAAAAATAATTCACAAAGATGCTTGGAGCACGAATGAACTTAATCATTTTTTTCTGGCTTTGGAAGTCTTGGTTCTCAGCTTTAATTATGAGCTTGGTTCTCAGCTTTAGTTTAGTAGTAGAAGAATAGCAAAAAAAAATTGCGTTCAAACTTTCTAAGTCAGGGCAACTTCCTTCACCCCAAAAACACAATGGCATCATCTTTGTGCCAAGAACTTCAATAGGAACACCTTCTGAAGACCATCTTAGCATGCAGTTGATCAAGCATGGTGAGAATGTACTGGAGAGGATTGCATTTCAGAGCTGCTGGATTTTTTTCATGCTGAGTTGGACAATGATTTGAAGGAGGCACAGATCTTAGAATCAAAGAAGATGTAAACAGAAGCCAGTGGGACAATTGGGAATTGAGTGTGTGTGTTTTGGATAGGGGGGTCCTTAAAGGGTTGAAACAGTTTAGCTTTGAGTGGAAAAGATGGAATTCTTTCCTGTCAGGTTCATTTTATGGTGCCAAAATGCCACTGCACAGAAAATCCATTTATCACTCATTTGGGAACTGTTTTTATGACCTACTGAGCCATAGGTAGCCATATTTGAGCCTAGCACATTACATTAATCCAGCCTGCATAATTAATACTTCACTAGATCATACAAACTAGGAGATTTAATCAATTAATAAACCATGATTCAGTTAACCATATGTAAGCAATATGCGAACCAGCCAATCATTCTGTCACTAACAGCTACAATTTAGAATCGGGGAAATCATTTTGAAACCTCAGACTTTGGTGGCAAAGTAGAGATGCCACCAACATTATAGTCTGCATTCTTGTGTGAAATGTCATTGTTGATTTCCCAAATGCTGTATTTGCCAAGTACCTTAAATCCCTGCATAGGACTTACAAGGGAATAGGCAGAACCTTTTTATACTATAAATACTGAGTAAAAAAGAGAAAGAGCAATGTTATCGGTTAAGTGTCTGGAAGGTTATTATTGCCTTGTGTTGCTGGGTTCTCAAACAATTTGGTTGGCACCCTCTTGGGATTTGGCTGAATTGTGCCAGGAATCCTAGCTATACATGAACTCGTGGAGTTGTCCTAACTTGTAGAGACATTAGAGACCTTCAAAAGTAGAGACCTTCAAATTTCTAGGTTCTATCATATCACAAGACCTAAAATGGATACCTAACTTCAAAAACATCATCAAAAAAGCACAACAAAGAATGTTCTTCCTGCACCAATTCAGAAAGCTCAAACTGCCCAAGGAGCTCCTAATACAGTTCTACAGAGGAATTATTGAGTCTGTCATCTACAGCTCTATAACTGTCTGGTTTGGTTCTGCAACCAAACAAGACAGACACAGACTTCAGAGAGTAATTAGGACTGTGGAAAAAAGAGTTATTACTAACCTGCCTTCCTCTGAGGACCTGTCAAAAAGAGGGCTGTGAAAATATCAACAGACCCCTCATATCCCGGACATAAACTGTTTCAACTCCTTCCCTCAAAACGACGCTATAGAGCATTGCACACAGAACAACTAGACACAAGGACAGTTTTTCCCGAATGCCATCACTCTTCTGAACAAATAATTCCCTCAACACTGTTCAACTACTTACAAAGTCTGCACTATTACTATTAATCTTCTCATCACACCTTATCACCCTTCCCCTCCCACTTGTGACTGTATGACTTAGTTGCTTGTATCCTTGCTGTTTATATTGACTGTTTCCTAGTATAATTTGATTGCTTATTGACCCTAATCATTAAGTGTTGTACCTGATGATTCTTGACTCTTGACGAATGTATCTTTTCTTTTATGTATACTGAGAGTATTTGCACCAAGACAAATTCCTTGTGTGTCCAATCACACTTGGGCAATAAAGAATTCTATTCTATTCTATTGTGTTTTAAATGCTACTATTACCAGAACTGTGTAATTGGCCCATGAAAGAAAGCGGTTCCTGAAAGCCATGCAGTGCTCGCTTTCACAACGGTTAAGAAAACAGGCAGATAAAGGATGGGCTTAAACCGAGCGCCCTTAATAAGTTCCATAAAATAAAAAAAAAGCTTCCCCCACCCTCCAAACTTCGCCCAGGTCCTGGCGGGCAGGGCAGTGGAAGCAAACGGTGGTTGGTCCGCCGGGCTGTCCTTCTGGCTTCCCTGTTCCACTGTAGCTCTGCCCATACCTGCTGGCGGAGAGCCGCTTTCGGGGCGGGGCTTAGTCCGGGACGGAAGGCGGGGCTCACCGACCAGTAGAAGAGAAGAACTCTTCTTTCCCCGGACTGGTTGTGGTGGGGCGAGGCTGCAGGTTGCGGGGCAGAGCAGGGGCGAAGCCGACCGCTCCGGTGCCGAGCCGCTACTCCGCCTTGTAGGAGGCGCGCGACGAACTTGCAACTAGCGAGGGCTCCCTCGGCGGAGAAGAAGCAGGAAAGAAACGCGAAGTATCTCTCGCCTAGGAGAGCCGAGCCTGTGACCTTGCGCAGTGGAGGAGGAGAGTGGCCGATTCCGAGAGAGCGAGGAGGCGGAGGAGGAAAGAAGCCGCGCGAGGAAGAGGATCTGCTTTGCTGAAGGATTCGTCCAGGTAAGGACCTGAAGTATTACGGACCAGTAGATTCCGGAGTCTCTTTTTTCCCCCTTTTCTGTTTCGACAGGTGTGCATGTATTTATTTTTGGTCCGTCCTTTTGCAGCCCCACTCCTGGGCTTGTAATCCGGAACACGCACCTGTGAGTAAAATCCTTGGAAGTCAGTGCGGACTTCCATCTGAGTAGGATAGCATGGGACTGCGCTTTATATCTCCAGTGCTGTAAGCCACAGGATTTGCAAATGGGCGCCCAACGCGATATTCTCAAGGGATCCGCGAAGTAGAATTTGGACTCGCATCTTCCTAGCCCGATAACCTTTCTCCTTCCTATGCCTTTGAGGTCGGACTCACCGCTGTTAACAGACCTGACTTCCGGGATAGGCTTCCCCTTCCACAAGTTAGGGTTCAGCCAGTTGACAAACTAATGCTTTTTAATTTTTATTATTCTAATTATTTTGTTGTCCCTTTCTGAAGGAGGGTGGGGCCTCTTGGCAATCTGCCTCTCCTAAGTCCTCTATGAGTGGCTTAGCCTGTTCTTCCTGCTTCATTCCCTTCCCCCCTCCTCTCCCCCTTGTCAGAGTTGCAGATCCTGGTAATTTTAGCGAATATTTTTTGGAGGGCAGTCACTTTTCTGCCATTCATTATTGTTCGTTAGTATTTTAGACGATTATGCCAACGTGACAGGTTATCTGGAGTTCCTTTTGCATTATTTGGCAACAGTGTGAGGTTTTCTCTCTGAATCAAAATCTTGGGAAAAAACCTAAATTATTGAAAGTAAATGATTGAAATTACAGGATGAGTGTAGCAATGACAATTTTAATCTCTAGCACCCATACACAATCAGCTAAGGCTCAAATGTGTGTGTATGTATGTATGTACACACACATATACACTTTGTTACCCTTGATTTGTAAGCATGTGGCCTCTTCCATTAACTCTTCCATTTAGATAGTTGGCCCACCCTATCCCTAAGGCTTCATGACATGTATCAACAGCTATTGTAACCTTGTATGTAGAAGCATGTGAATTGAAATTATAGTTTTAATAAACATAAACATGCATAGCACCAGGGTCTAAAATTACAATCCTATGTACTTTTTCTCCCCAAGTAAAGTAGTTATGCTGACAGTAGCACTTTTTTTACCCCTCTGTCTTTGAAAGTGCCAGGTTTTAGAGATAGAATTACTTATTTGTTTCTGCTCAAATTTCTCTAAATTAGAAATATTTTATTGTTATATTTCAATATTAAGCAAGTGATTGGTAAATGATGAAATGAGTGGGCCCAGGTGGCACCAGCAGTACAGCAGACTTAGTTTTCATGGTGCTAATATATTTGCTTTCACCCTGGCAACATGATTTCAATCTTCCCATGGCTCCATCTAAAGTTAAGGAGATAAAGAAAATAGGCTTTTTATTATACAACTTCATACAGTTCTTAGCATTAACCAATCTCTTTGCAACCTGTGCAAAAGTGCCAGTTGCTTTCTACTTTTTCTGATTGGTAGACATGAAAAATTGCCTGTCAGTGCAAAGAATGTATCTTTTAGGTGCTGGCAAATTCTGTAGTATCTGTCATTTCAGTTGGGAGTTGATCTGCTTCTTATTTCTCCCTGCATTTTTCCTAATGTAGCACTGAACTCTTTTCATCCTTCTGCAGGATATATGCTGCATTTTAGAAATTACTGTGTGTGCCACCTTTCAAGATTTTCCATGTCAGGAAACTATCCTGAATATTGGAGGCTTAAATCATTTTACTGTATGTTATGCTGATCTGGCTATTCACTTAGGAGTTGCCTATATTTGCCTGTTTTCTATTTTGATATTTCATATTAGGTAACATAGAATCATGTGCCTGAGGGCTGAAATCCTCTAAACTTTTGTTTGTTTCCAAATTCCTGTTACTGACATTAATTGTAATCTTATTCAAGATGATCATCTTTTAAAGAAACTAATAATGAACATCAGGATTAGTCTGAATTGCTTACTAGTACTTACTGGGTACTAATTATAATTAGCCTGACAGAAGTAGTGTTACTGTTGCTAAGGAATATTTTTGGTCAGTAAAAGACTTAGTGCAAGATGCAGCAGTGGATATTAAATACAAATAAAATTCTGTGATTCTTTTTTGTATGTGTGTGAAGATAAGATACTGTAGTGTAAAGGGATGTGACTAGGTTCATGTTGTAGATCATGTTCTGTTTGAATCATACTCTTAAGCTGCAGTGGCTCCTTGCTGTAAACCATCATTCACACTGTATGAACTACAGTGGTTGGATTTGCAGAAATACTGAACTAAAACCAAACAAACAATTGCTGAGCATACTATAGAAATAAGCACATTCTTCAGATTACTTTCGCTTTATTGTTATATTCATCCAGATAGTACTGTATTGATATCCAAAGTATCAAAGATAAAGACATTCTCTATTGAACTATCTTTGGGATAGTATTACTGTAAAACAAAAGTAATTGACATATATATTGTAAGCAAAAATAAGCTGGAGGAGTTAGGTTTTCTTCTTTAAAGATTACATTTTGGTAAAAGCTAGAATTGGTAAAGAAGTTAATTTTATCAAGTAATATCAGACTGCTTTTTGCTTTTACAGCATGATCAGATGGCTTATCACTAACTCCTTATCATTTAAGGAGGAACTAGGCAACCTCTGACCCATTGGGCCATCCTTTCAGAGATATTTACTTACTAGATTTCTCAGTGCCTTCATCAATGACACAATTTCTAATGTACTGCCTTCACTGGAAAAGTTGGGATATATTCAGAGATGTATCTGCCTTGAATATATCCCATGTTGAATGGTTTAGCACAATAAAACATCAACACAGGAAATGTTTTGTGACACTTTGTATGATGTCATAAACTGCTTTATGCGAATGTGTGGTGAGGGTGCTGGCCAGTTTGGTATAATGGTTAAGGGCTAGCTTAGAAAATAGGAGACTGTGACTTCCAGTCCCATTAGTGACATGAAAAACCAGCTGGGTAATTTGGGGCCAGTCACTCTGTCTCAGCCTAACTCACCTCACAGGGTTGTTACTCTGGGGAAAGTAGGAGGAGTATTTGCTATCTTGAGTTGTATCTGAAAAAAGACATAACTGTAAATAAAAATAAAATAAAAATCTTACACATATCATTTACATTTAATTTTCCTGGTTTTAAATATCAGATCCTGTATAATGGCTAATTATGCATCGTAAAGCAGATAAAGAGACTGCTAATTTTGTTGATTAGGAGTATGGTTTGGAAAGATTAGAAAGGCACATGCCCATTCATTACAAAATAAATGAATATAAGTGAGTTCTTTAAATGTACTTGACTGGATTTTTAAAAACTTTTCTGATCATTGACCAATTTTCTTATCTGACCAAATAGTTGTCTTCTCAAATTGTTAGTCAAATTGCTATATGAACTGTCTAGTATATCATATTTTGTGAATGACCGTGTTGCCGCTAACGGATTGAAATTCCATCCAGAAATATTGATTGTTCTCATATTTTTTCATTTCCTACTTGCTGTGAGAAATATAATATTCAGAATTTGTGTCACAAAACAGCATAAAACACAAGTTTTTGAAAGGTTTTCATAGTTAAAGGATTATATTTAATAGAACCATATTACTGTGATACTGAATGATATCTAACATCCGTTTTACTCTCACTTTTTAGCAGGCTTCACAGTTTTGATCTAATCAGGCTGGATTTCTGGACAATTTTCCTCTTAAGCATGAACTAAACTGAATAATACTACAGTAGTTTGTGTGCAATGTGTTTTTATAAAACCTATACAATCTTAGCTGAGTGTTAGGAGAGCCAAGGACTGTAGAACAGATTGAGAAGTTGAAGAAGCATCCCAGAAGAAGGTAACAACAAACCTTGTACACATTATTGCCAAGTAAATTGTGTGGGCGTGTACCACATAGACAAAAGGAATCTTTATGGTAATATTTTCAATAACATCAGCAACGCTGATATAATTATCCTGAATCAGTACAAGCATATTATAATTACTAACACCATCATTTAGAAAATGTAGAAAACTAATCTCCATCATCACTGGGTTAATTTTTATCCTGTTTGTCTTACTTACTAATTAAACTTATTTCCTGCTGCTATCTTTTTTCCTTTGGATGTCTTATTTCTTTTATTCTTTATCCTCATATCACCATGAGCATCTGCATTAGGGTGATTATAACTAGTGGTGGGATTCAAATAATTTAACAACCGGTTCTCTGCCCTAATGATTTCTTCCAACAACCAGTTCGCCAAATTGCTCAGAAAGTTAACAACCAGTTCTCCTGAAGTGGTGCAAACTGGCTGAATCCCATTACTGTTTATAGCTCCCAGCATATGGTGCTATCTCTATTTTGCTTTTTTGAGCTTTCCAGTTTGACATCGTAACTGGGCTCACATATTGCACTAAATTATGCTGTATTATATAAATCATATTTTATTATTTAGCATTGTATATGAACATCAGTTTATACATTCAGTAAAACAATAGCTAAAACATAAATTTAGCAAGCTGTTAAGTAAGGCATGTAATATCTACAACTAATGTCCTGTTCTAAATATCTTTAGCAGATATGTTTTCCCACATAGCCAATTGCATATGGATTTGTTCTATATCCTTTCTATCTGGGCAATCAAAACAATTTCCAATTCAATCCTTAGGGATAGCTTTTGCACCAGGTATTTCCCATTGTCTGTTGATATTCTCCTAGGAATCTTTTAAAGCAGCTTTGTTAGTTTCTCTCTATGTTAAGTATAAGACAAAATGAAATACTATTAGCAGTTGATTAATTGTAGCCTATTACTTCTAGTTTGTTCTGAGTTGCACCCCAATCTTCCTTATAAACACCTAGAGTTTCTGGGTGGTGGTGGTGGTTATTATTATTATTATTATTATTATTATTATTATTATTATTATTATTGCAAAATCTTAATGCACTTTCTTGCTGCAAGTAACATTTTACTATTTCTTTAGAAGTCTCAATAAAAATTATATAAACAAAAAACCCTAACACAAAGCCATATATATAAAGTAGGGAAAGAAAGAAATATAAAATCAAGCAAAAAACAAAGCGCAGGGGAAAAAGTTGAAGAAAAACAGAAAAAGAAAAGGAAAAAGATGTAAAGAAGTGGATTCTGATATTCTTCACAGCAGCAGTTACAAATATATTTTAATCTCATATATTCCTGTTCTAAGAATAATCTATCTAATCATCAGAACCATTAAATCACAACTTCACTTTTGCCATTTTTACACAAGAACACCATAAGAGGTTTCCAGTCATCAGTAAATATATCTTTTCTCTAAATAAGAAATGTTTACAGAAAAGGCAACAAATGATGTTTTAAAGGAAATTATGTCTGAAAGAGATTTAAAGCAAACTCAATAGTTTATCCTAGAAGTTTATCTTGGCTTTCAATCTTTAACTTAGCAACTGGAATTTGGTTTCAAGGAGAGTGCTAGATTTCCCCTTCAATGCCAACATTTGCAAGCTTTGTGCCAGGCAAATAAGTCATCATAGCATCTGACTGCTCTTCCATTACAAGTTGAAGTGTATCAGCCTTTAATAGGCAAAACCCAGTACTATCACCCCATCTCCAGAGGCAAAGTTCTGGTAAATAAGTTGGTCTGTTTATTCCCCAAAGATCAATCTTCAAGATTATTTTGAAGAAGAAATTATCTTGAAGACTGACCTTCTTTCCCTCCCCACAGAACCATCCTTTATTAAGACAACAGAGGAGCTATCACTCTTGAAAAGATCTTTACTGTCACTCACTGACACAAACATATACACAAAACACTGAATATTTTATCTTCTCTTTCAATTCTAGCTTGGTGTCATTTGTAAGTTTGATGAAGAAAAAAACTATTTTCTGCAGTGTTTTTTTTAAATTACACAATAGTTGTCTGGAGATAGAACCCTGTGGTAAACCATATCTTTCCAAGTTCGTAAGAAAACACTGAAAATGCCTTTTGGACATGTCTGTGAACAGCTTTTTGACAAAAATATGGTGAAAAGTCACATTTTAAAAGATGTGCTGCAATAAACTTTCCCAACCTGAGGATTTCTTGACTTAGATTTTAAATCCCCAAATTCTTTAACAAGCATGGTTACTGCTGAATATTTTCATGTCTCACGTACACTCAGATTGGGGAAGATTGTGAGGCATTTTCATAGCCTTATCTACAAAATTATTGTTTAAAGCAAGTGAAAAGATCTAGCAAATATAGCTTTTTAGAAATATGTGGTTTTTAAAATAATTGCAGTGTTCTAAATGCGTACATTTGAAACTGACGATCGGTGCATTCAGCTTCTGTATGTATATATGTATGTATGTATGTATGTATGTTAGATAACGGCTTTGTGTTCTTTGTGAACCAACTGCCTAATGATAAACTTAAGAATTATTTATGTTCAAATGATTTATGTGTTGAAGTCGTATATTACACTAAGCTACTTGTTTTAATTGTTTATTAAATAAATCACAACCGGGTACACATAGCACATAAGCCAATGCTAAATGTTCTGAACATGATTATGATTTATAAATCCGACCGTTAGGATAATCCTCACAATACGTAAATCAAGCAGGTCATTTTCAGTGAAAATCAAATCAGACCAAACTCACACTCTCCGTGGTTGTCATTTGTAAAGATTTCCACAAGAATTGCAAATTTTGCACAATTTGAACTTTCTGCAGGGGCAGATAACTCTAAATATGACTGTCCAAACTCAAAATCTGATGCAAATTGTCCTTTCCCCTCACTTGCTGTGAAAAAGCCCTGTTTTATGCTTGTCATCCACATGCAGTGGGATCCTGGGAAAAAAGATTATGTATGATTCACTGCGTGTAGATAACGAGCATAAAGCAGGGCTTTATCCCAAAGAATGTAACAGCCACTCAGTGTAGAATCTTAACCCTCCAAGTTCATGTACTCCGATGGGTGACAGTATAAAGCATACTCAGAACAAACATACAGAAAACTATCCCAAAACTTTTGTGCAGTTCTTAGAAAGGATGCCGAATTTCAGTTTTAGTCATACTGCTCGATAATAGAAGTTTAGCTGGGACACATACTGCAAGTCAGTTACATTGCCATTAAAGTTAACTAATTTAAACTGAGAAAATATTAACACAGTTAAACATTTATGTCAGTTGAGTTCAGTAATTACTATATGCACTGAACTTGAATTGTTTCAACAAAAACACAAATAAACACTGTAAAAGAATTGAGAATACACATCTACAAAATCCAACTGTTGAATTTCCATCAACAAAGGGAGTGAAATCTGTAGTCTAAAACATGATATGTTAGTAATGAACAAATATGAAAATTATATGGTATGTGAAGTTTTATAGTACTTTTAAAACTACTTGGCAATATTACAGTGTTTATTATATGTATGCTTTTAAACTAAAAAAATGTTAAAACAGTTCAGCATTTATGCCAGTTGAGTTCAGTAATATGCAACATTTATTTCAACAGAAACACATATAAACACTGTTAAAAGAAGGAATTGAGAATGCATATCTATAGGTGATTATGACTACTTATCAATGATGCTACTGAATGAGTGGTACATATTTATTATTAGTATTTGAAGTTCTAGTCATTGCCACATCCCTGTAATCAAGTGATCATGATTCAGGTGCTTGGCTTGCATAAACCAAGGGCTATAAACTTGCAGGCTAGAAACGATCACAGGAGCATTTGTAGCCTTCTCTGCCAGCTTCTCGCAAGCAAAATCAATGGATGAGATAGCATGGAAAATCACAAATTGCTCCTGCCTCATTCCCCCCCCCCAAGGTACCCTACTACAGTGTACAGACAATCCTTGGGATCTTGTACTCTGTAACATCCCCTTCCTACCTGCACTCTGAGTTGTGTCTCCTTATACTCCATAGCACCCATCCTCCCCCTGTTCCCTCAGTAGCTCCTGATGACTCACCTGTGCTCTGTAGCACCACCTCTGGCCCCTGATCCATAGTACTCATAGCCCCACATGCTCCATAGTACCTCTATAGGCCTCCTGCACTATGTAACACCCGACCACAGCACCTGTCCACAGCTCACACATCTTGCTGTACCCCCCGCCCTTCTCATGCTCCTTGCCTGGGATTTCCATCTCTTCTCTTTAACAGCCTTCATGGTCCTGGGATTATGATGGCAATTGGGACTGCCAGGATTGTCACTGCTAAGCAGTCATGGGACATTGCACTTTGCGACTGCATTGCTAAGCAACAGGAGTTCCAATTCCAACTGTGGTCCTAACCCAGTGACTACCTATATTAACCTTTTATACATTGGCTGCATTGAGCCATTTGCTCAGAACTGAGCTAATGCTATGCAGAATACAGAGATGGTACAGTTCCACATCAAAGTTCCATGGTTTGACCCGGTCCACGGCATGACTGATATGGTCCCATGCAAAAAAAATAAATAAATCCCTATCCATGGGATTCAGGCAGCACATGAAACCACAACCTCTCTGGTCTGCAGAAAAATCCTCCACAGAATTGGTCTCTGGTGTCCAAAAGGTTGGAGGCCACTGTTGTACAGTGATGGCTAGTTATGTTTTTAAAAAGTCATTTTAAGTTTTGTGTTGTGACACAGCCATTTGCACTTTACATATACTTATTTATCTACAGTGACTAATTACAGTTCTAGAGTTGAGTATGATATAAATACACACATTTCCCATGATTTGCAGTTGCCAGAAAGTATTTTGTATTTTCCGTCACATGCTTACAGCTTAGCAAGTATTAGTTTACTAATCTGTATCTTACGCAGTTGTCTTGACTTGCCGTTGCTGATATTGCTGCACTGAAAAACTTCTGTGATATGTGGAGGTGTGAGAAAAAAAATGGGATTGTTCTCCTTTGCCTTTCTGTTTATCTGCTATGTAGAGACTCGCAAAAGCTCGTGTTAAATGTTTAAGGACAATATAATATTCTTTAATTAACTGACAAGCCTAGGTAGAACCCTGGTTGGGAAATAAAGTTGATAGTGGCCTAGTTGATAGTGGTCTGCTTCTCCAAAACTTCAATGCTGCTAAAGTCAGATCATTTCAGTTTCATTCTGAATCATAAATGCAGCATAGAAAAAAGCTAAATTATTTTAACAAGCATTACTAGCAATATACCAAATGTAAAATAGGAAAGCATTCAACATTTTTCACTTGACTGATCATAATTTGTCACTAGGCCATTAAAAAGTGGTTCTGTCATCAATATTTTTGGCTCTGTATTTGTCAAGAAATAACTGATCTAAAGGAAAGTTGCTTTTACACACAGCTGGAAAATGCTGTGGCATTTAAATTCGTTTATTATTATTATTAACTATTATGAGTGGGGTGGGAATTTATTGCAATGCCTTGTCAAGCACATGACTTCCAATATAAAGATAAAGGGTTCTTTGAGTTCAGCTAGATTGTTGTTCACTATATGACAGATATTCTCAGTAGCAAAACAGAAATCGTTTGTCTTTGCCACCTTCTGGTATTTTTTTTGTTTCTAACTACAGGTAGTATTTGACTTACAACCATTTGTTTTTGATCATTTGAAGTTACAACAGTACTAAAAATAGTGACTTATGGTTGGTTTTTCACACTTAACATCATCCACATGGTTACATGGTCAAAATTTGTGTGCTTGGCAATTGGCATGTATTTATGACAAGTTGCACTCGTGATCATCATTTGGAAGCTTTCCAATTGGCTTTAAACAAGCAAAGTCAATGGAGGAAGGCGAATTCACTTAATGACTGCATGATTCACTTAGCTGCAGTGATTCACTTAAAAATTGTGGTAAAAAAAAGTTGTAAAATGAGGCATAATTCATTTTACAACTCCCTTGCTTAGCAATTCAAATTTGGGCTCAATTGTCATATGTTGAGGACTGCGTACACCTTTCATTGCTCAGAATCCTGGTCCCACTTGCTTAATAAATAAATACAAATATAAATTACTTTTTTTGTTTTACGTTTATCCCATCTTCATTTGTTTTTATAAATAAAATTACAAATATACCTAACTCTCTTTCTTCCTATTTTCCCAACAACAACCGTGTTAGGTGAGTTGGGCCTAGGAGAGAGTGATTGGCCCAAAGTTATCCAGCTGGTTTCAAGTGGGATTAAAGTTCATAATCTCCTGCTTTCTAGTTTGGCGCCTTAAGTACTAGACCACAATGGCTCTTCCATTTATGCTTTCAGTGTCATTTGAAAAAGAAACTTTTGTGTCATTCAGTAGTATTATATAATAACACACTTGTTGAACAAGAAGGTTGGGACAAAGAAGAAACCATCTTTAATGGTCAAGTAATTTTATGTGGGGAAAAAAAAGGAAAGGGGGGAAAGAGAGTGAAAAATTTAAGATTTGAAAAAACAACCCCAAAAAAGAATAGTTTGAAAAATAATTACAATATTAGGAAGCAACAGAAGAGAGGATCACAGAAGAGATAATTAGAAGTAGAGAGACAAGGGGACAAAAAGGGGAGGGAGAAGAAGAGGAGGAAGAAGAAAAGGAAAAGAAGTTACAAAAGACAGAAACAAGATATAGAGAAACAGGAAAAATGTATAAGGATTGAAAGTATAAGCCTATTTAGAGATAATGGGTGAAAATTTAACTGAAAAAGGGATTCTGCAAAGGTACATAAGATAGTGTTATATTAGAAATAGAAATAATTTTAGAAAATATGAAACAATGTATGACTAAAATGTTGGATAAAATACCTATTGTAATGCAGTGGAATGTTTGTTAATAAATGAAATAAGTGAATGAGAGAATGAAATTCGGAAAGGATGGGAACATTTTAACTATTAATGATTTATAAAAATATAAGTGAAGAGAAATATGGGAAAAAAAGAATTATAGAAAGTTTATAAGTGTTCACAAGGAAGTATGATATTCAATTGAAAAGAAATGTTAAAGATGTTAAGATTCTAACTAATATTAATGATAGAATTGAATTGGAATGGAATGAGTGTTTTATTTACTATTGTTTATGTGTGTGTGTGTGTGTGTGTATGTGTATATGTATATGTATATGGTATTCAGCTTTGTTCTGGTATTTTCCCACGTCATTGTAGTTGTGCTTTTAAAATTGTAGCAACGTTTCGGCGGAATCTCATCTGCCATCATCAGGCTTCTGTATAGGCAGATGAGATTCTGCCAAAACGTTGCTTCTTCATGTTAGGTACTCGTCTGTTCATGAGCGTGGGTTTCCAAAGAAGAATGACACCAGACCCACACCCATGAGGGCCACACAAGATGCCATCACCACACTTCCACGTAGAAAGCAGACTCACACCCACACAGAAGATGAGACACGACCACGGACCAGAAGCCGCACTGCAGCTGCATCACTACCCACTTTAAACCCCTCTGAGCCATACATGAAATGAACTGACACCCACCATGAAGATGTGGCACGTCCACGAACTCAAAGCCAAACAGCAGGATCACAGCTCACCAGCTCAAATCCCCCAGCAACTAAGACTAACCTGAGCAAAACCAAGCCCCCACCTGAACAGAACACACCTCCAGCCAATCAGAACACGGCCAACCCCCCAACCAATCAGAACACAGCCAAACCCCCAACCAATGAGAATACACCCCCACCCAATCAGAATACAGCCAAGCCCCCACCCAATCAAGTCACACCCCCACTAGCAGTTAAAAGAAAGAAGCAGCTGCAAGCTCACATCACTCTGAGAAGCACAGAGCCGAAGACACAAGCCTGAAGATGATGAATGAGACTTCATCGAAACGTTGCCTAGATACTTCCAATCTTACATGGGAGAAAACCTGAACAACCAAAGATCCACATACAAATACCCGCGAGAACCTCAAAAAACATATATAAATATAAATACTAATACTTATATATGTTTTCTGAGGTTCTTGCGGTTATTTGTATGTGGATCTTTGGTTGTTCGGGTTTTCTCCCACGTAAGATTGGAAGTATCTAGGCAATGTTTCGATGAAGTCTCATTCATCATCATTATAAAAGATATAAAGGTGTCATACTCCAATTAGTAACTACGGGGGAGAATTTGTTTAATGAGAAAAAATAATATGAAATTGAAACAGGACAGGCAAAAGTATAAATATAATGATTGGAAAGACATTGAAACTTAGAAAAAGATATACATTATAATTGAATTTAGATATGAGATAATTAAAAATAAAGTTGAGAAAACCAAGGGAGGGGAAAAATTATGGAGAAAATGTTAAAATAGTAATAAGATATGGAATAGAACACAAAGATGAATATGAAATTGAGTTTGTATCTGTATGAAGAAGTGATAACCCAGGATCATGCTATTCTCAAAAAAGATGTTTTATTTGTATTATGTTTTTGTGAAAACCCAAATAAAATGTATATAGCAGTATTATATAATAATACACAATACTTCTTTTATTATTTATATTTATCTCCTGTAGCATATCTGTATGAACAATCTGTTAAATAATTTTTATTTCAGTGGGTTACTGAAAAATTAGAGTTTCCCTTTTACGCCCTTTAAAATAAATAGGCATTTTTGTCCTCTGAAGAAAATAAATCCACTCCCATGATATGCTATTTCTTTTCTCAAAGCTTGAAAATTGATCCTGTTCTCAAGATATCATTTTGCCAATCTCAGATAGTAAGAAAGCAGGTGTTGCCATCTAGGAGAGTCAAGTATGAGGGTGTGTTCTTGGAACTCATTATTCAAAATTCTACACAAGGAGACCTCTTTTTATTTCACTTCCAATATCATAGGTGCATGTAAACCTAGTGGGGAAAATTCTTAAGCTTATTTTAGTATATAAGTTTTATTGATTTATTATGCACCATCAAGCTGGTGTTGACTCTTGGCAACTACGTAGAATTTCTCCAGGGTACATCCATCACTGCTATAATTGAATACTCTTGGCCCTGTTTTTGCTGGTGGTCATCTTTTTCTTTTATTTCCTAACTTTTCTGTGCAATAAGAACTTCTCAAG